ATAGGTATATAGTCTTAATTAAGCCTATAGTAGAAAAGCTCCGTATAGGCTTGTAACGAGCTTGACAATATCGCTCGGACGTACATAATTCAGTATATAAATATTTAAAATAATAATTGCTTCGGATGCACAATAGAACGCCAAGACTTCGTTAGTCCATATAATAGTTTTGGTTCTCTCTGCGTATAATCAATTGCAGCAAACGCAAGTGTTTATGAATATGTTTCCATACTTGGTCGTTGTTTTATCGAAATATTCGTCGATCGTTCAAACTTTCAAAATGAAGTTCAATCACGAGCTGATCCTTGCGAACTGCATCATGCAGTAATTGTTTTTTCTTTCAACTTTAACATAGCAGCAGTTGCTTAACTGTAAATATATATTCCTGCCGAACTCTTCATCTGCAAATATAGGCCGAACAAAAACTGCGCGCACAGGCAGTAGTTTTTGCGCACACGAGCCGACGAGGCAGCAATCTACGAGACTAGGATGTTTGAAAAACGTTGGCCTTAGTATGTGTGTGTGTGTGTGTGTGCAATACGAACTCGTGCATAATTTGCGCGTGCCCGGGCAAGGAAATGAAATTGTTTCAATCTAAGAGCAAAAGTATAATAATCTTGGCCAAGTCAATTTAAGAATATACATCAGAATTATACGCGCGGGCTATGTGATATATCTGTATCGTGCACTTCCACGACGTTTATACGTATATATCATCGCCGTCGCGTCCTCGACGTCGTTGTCGTCATTCATTCATTGCGCAAAGATGCAAATATCCACTTGGGTCACAGAAGCACATCAGCATCGCGGCAGCAGCAACAGCAGAAGCAGTAGCAGCCACTCAGGGTGGTCCAATTTGCGGCTGCTTTTGTCCAATTACGCGCCCATTAGACGGTGTGGCCGGCCTGATGCAGAGTCTGCGCCGAGTATAATATACGCGCGTATATATATACCCCCTGAGAGAGAGAGACGAGTCGAGATATACGCGTGTATTGTGTGTATATATACGTCTATTGCTGTGTATATGCGGCATAAACTCCTACGCTACGTTGCTGCCACTCTTGTGGCCTCATGTCAATTGGAGAGGATATTGCGTTTAGTCGATGACGAGCAAGAGAGAGAGAGAGAAGCTGCAAAGAGAAAAGCCATTTATATACGGTAGATTTTCTCCAGAAGATTGCGAATCGGCCACCGCGACGCAACGCGCACGAGAGAAGCGATCCTCTCTCGATCTACGGTCTGCCGTTGCTGCCATTATAATGTACGTACTGTATACCACGTGCAGCAACGTTGCACCTTCATCGTCGACTTCGATCCTGGCGATACTGTATGAAAAACGATTGTTCGAACGCGAAATTCGTTGAATTTCACATTTGCGGACACGCATACGATACGACATCGCGATGTATGTATGAGAAAAATGTGTCGCGCAATTATCGGCATACAGTGTGACACATTTTTCTGACGAATTCGAGTCGCAGTTCGAATGCGAGCTGGATGCGGACGATGACGCGTGCCACCACGCGAAAATCACGTAAAAATCTCTTAATTTCGGCCAAATTTTGTAAAATGCCGGCAGAGCTGGCACACGCGCAGTGCAGTATATGCTGCATTATACATGGCGTGCAACGCTAAAACGCAGTCTCGGAGACATAATTTACGATCTGTACTGCTCGAGTTTGACGTGCGTCCATCAATCGAATATTTATCATTTATACAAATAATATCATGTATGTGTGTATGCCTGCCGTATACGTATACATAATCACATGGCTCATCGCCGCATCACGCAACGATTCGCGTACTCGCGCGCGCGCGAAATAGCACACATGGTGACGAAGACGACGACGATGATGACGGTTCTGTTGCCTCTTTCTCTCCTTCTTTCGCGCAGGGCCCCATACAAGAAGAAGAAGCAGCAGCAACAAGACCCATCAACGGCCATCGTGTAATTCGTATACGTCGCGCCGAGACACGAGCAGGCCCCACACACGCAGACGACGACGTGGACGAGGATCGTGTAAGATTCCTCGCACCCGCAGCGAGCCGCTACCCGTCATCAGCTCGCGCGCTACATCGGTGATCCTGCCATACACGTGAAAATTAAACCATACACCTGTGAATATGTGCGTGTATGTGTGTGTGTGTGTGCGTATAATAAGTAATGCAGTGCTTTCTTTTTTTTTTCTCGCAACTCACGCACGCAGCTTCACGTGCTGCCACACTGCTGTATACTCTCCACTCCAGCACACGAACACTCGTACGTATGTTATACGTGTAAGAATACGTGTGGAAACGTTTCAATAGAGATAACGAGCAGTAGCCTCGTAAATTACGCCGAATAAGCAATTTGCCCTTAGGAGGGTGTAGCAGGAGAGAGAGAGAGAGAGAGAAGAGAGCAGGACTCGAGCCAAAAGAAGAATTCTCGGTATATATCGGACGCGGGGCAATTTTAACGGCGCAGGCGCCAGGATACCGAGCGCCTCGGGTAAAGGAGTACTATATACACACTACTTCTCTGCCCACCTTGGCTTTTTTCGGACCATATTTCTTACATACTGTTTCTTTTTTTTTCCCCCTCTTCAAACGCCTATACGCAGTGCGTATGACTCCGAGCTGCTTACCTGCGAGGATGCTCAAATGCGTAATTTGGTGCGACAACTTTTCTTCTATAATAAATGTTATCGGTGGAGGTGATGATATTTTAAATCAATCGTCGCAGTGCATTTCGTTGCGTCGCATTTTTTCAATTTGACTCGCGCGTACCGATTTCCAGTGTCCAGTTCGGTCGACAGACGATCCATGCGCAAGTTTTATATTTTATATATAATGCGGTACATAAATCTCCAAAACTATCAATGCTCACGCAGACCGCACACCTATACACGCGTATTTATAACAGATACGAGTGAAATCTACTAACAAGGTGGGCCTGCCCCGCGAACGATTGTCCGTCTTGATTCATACATATGCCTCGTATTTGTTCTATACATGCTATATATGAGTCATTTCACGTCAAGTCTCCTAGCGCGGCGCCCGCGCGGCATTATTAATCGAAATTGTTCAATTTGTAACTCGCCAGAAAAGCACCTAGATGCACCCAGAAAAAATATGTGCCATATGATTTTGATAGGAAATTTCCTCAGCTTTCCGATGATGAGGTCAGATTTTCCAAAATTTTCCATTTTCCCCGGAAAAACTTGACATAAACTTTCAAACTCAAATATCTCAAAAACGGCATTTTTAAGATTTTTTTAAATAGTGCCAATCGAAAGCTGAGGAAATTTCCTATCAAAATTATATGGCACATATTTTTTCTGATTGCATTTAGGTGCTTTTCTGGCGAGTTACAAATTGAACAATTTCGATTAATAATGCCGCGCGGGCGCCGCGCTAGGAGACTTGACGTGAAATGACTCATATGTGTGTGTGTGTGTGTATATATAATGATGGGTTCCTCTCTCGGACTTCTCCTCATTTTTTTTCCGCTGTGTTTTAATCCCGCCAGCGCAGCGTGAATATGTATACGACGAAAGAGGCAGAAAAAGAGAGTGAAAGAGAGAGAGAAGAAAGTTACAAGGGGTACATTATATATTATACCGTTGAGCAAACAAACGGAGGCTATACGCTGCATCCGGTGCTAGTGTGGATGCTGCCTCGCGCGCGAAACATCGAGAGAGAGAGAGAGACAGAGATCGAGCTGTGCAGGCCCCGAGGGCCACTAGTTCGCGCGCATCACATCCGAAGGGCGTATGCGCTCGCGCCGCGACTAAACCGCGTGCTAACAGATATTCACTTGTCGTGCCAATGTACGTGTACGTGGCAGGAATTTTATTGCATCTCGTGCATAACGTCGACGACGATCGCGCCACCCATTTTTAGGACACTTTATTTCACTTCGGGGGCAAAAAAGTAGCCAAAAACAAAGAATACATCGATGATAAAATGTGCATACATAATAATATGCAATGCGAACGAGCGATATGGATTATTTTTGAGCGTAGAAATTTTACGCGTAGTCAGATTGCGCCTTTTGGTCGAGAACGTAAATGTAGAGTTTTTTGTAATAATTTCATAATTTTTTAAATAAACCCACATAGGTCCTTGGATGTTCTCGGATTTTTTTACATGATTTAGGACTCTGTTAAAATTTTAAATTTTTTCATTTTTGGTAAAACTTTTCGAAATGACAGACCGAGATATCTCTTTCTTTTACATGAACGGCGATCCAATACACCGAACCGAAACGAAACATTGTTTTCTTTTTACTCAGCATCAAAAGACAAAGCTAAAAATTTTTTCAGGTTTTTTTTCCAACGGTACCGACACGAGTATCCAAGTAAACCAATTCTAGTGCTGAAAGACCCATACTCTTAATGAAAGTGATCGTTCTTCAAGTAAAAATCTAAAACGATAAAACTCGTGATTTTTTACTTTTGAATTTTCGTTCAAATGTATTTGATCGTTTCCAATGTAGGCGTGCTTAATGAGTTCTACAACTTCTATGTAACAGTCGCATGTATAAGAGCTAAGAAAGTTGGAGTTGCGCTACATTCGAATTGCTGTCACACAATGAAATAGTGAAAGTGAAATCACCAATAGCTTCGACCACATGTTCTCACTCTCTATGTGTACAGATCGTAGCCGGTGTTCGGTCAGTACAGGTTACGACGCCGCCGCGTGAACAAGAAAATATCGCATCGTTTTCAACAAGTTCTTTTTGTGAAATAAATATAAAATACATTTTATTATAATCAATTGTGTTTGTGTGTGAGTGCGCTGAACGATAAACAATGTACTCCAACCAATTTAATGAGAGTCATGACGATAATTTTTACTATGAAGTGTGTCTCTTACGAGAAAGTATCAATAATTGTGAGGAAAAAGGAGAACAACTTGAATTTCTCTGCAAAATTCGTTCCTTAATTGGTGAAAGAAGAGTTCCAAATTTCCGAAAAATTTTTCGACATAAAGAAATTGATTGTCTTCTCTTGGATTCCATGAATTATTGGAAAGGAGTGCAGTATGATACTTTACAATTATTTATCAAGTTCGTGGCTAGGATCGGCTACAAGGACAAGCCCGAAGTTGATAAAAATGGCAAGCTAGTATCGTGTCGTACCACAGCAGTGCATCTAGCGGCTAAACACAAGTACGATCACCACTTCATCGATGTTTTATTTAAAATTTACAACAGATTTGACGTGAATTACACCGACGAGTCAGGCTTGACACACTTTCACGCGGCCTGCCAGTCCGGTTGCGATGACATTGTCATGAAATTCCTCGAGTTTGGGCAAGACCCCAATTGCATCTGGCGAGAAACAGGTGATACGCCGCTACACTTGGCTTTGGTCTTTGGCAGGAAGAAGATTGTCGAAATGCTGCTAATGAGAGACGTTAATCCCTTTGTGCCCAACAAGGACGGATTAACATCTTTGCACGTCGTTTGTAGGAATTTTCCCAATGCCCATGAACTAGTGAAGATGTTATTGGAGGTCAGCCATCCGGTGCAAGTCGATGCCCAAGACAATCTGGGTAAAACACCACTACACTATGCCCTGTCCCGGAACCATAAAGTACAGAATACTGTCCGATTATTGCTGGAAAACGGCGCCAGTCCAAATTTAGCCGACAAGGAGGGATTGACTCCCCTGCATTATATTTTTAAGAGAAGCGGCGTTTTTTTTGACGGTTATACAGTAGATGACTTGAAGATATTTTTTAAGATCAACGAAGATCAAAATCAAAAGGTAGAAGTAGATGCCCAGGACAAATTGGGTAACACACCATTGCACTTGGCATTGGAATGTGTGGGCAGGAACATTAAGAAGGTGGTCGAAGTATTGCTGAGAAGAGGTGCTGATCCGAACGTAGCCAATGCAGAGGGATCGACACCATTACATTTAATTTGTGATAAACCAAGTGTTTATGACTCAAATGAGGGCTTAGCGGAGTTATTCTTCAAGATAAACGACGAAAGACATCAACAAGTGCAGGTCAACGCTAAGGACAATTCAGGTCAGACACCGCTGCAATTAGCTGTGGAGAATGTTTTGCCGAATGCGGTCCATGCACTCGTGGATCATGATGCTGATCTGTCCAACTTCCTTTTTACAACTAAGTCGATTGAAGCTAGGATAGACATGCCCGCTGAATTGAAATTAAAAGCAATATCTGGCGTTCTGGTGATCACGGAGCATCTAGAGAACGGAGGATATGAAATAACCCGTAGCCACGCGTTGAACGTAATGAATCTTTTCCATGTCTATGGATTTTTAGAAAATTCAACGAATCTGGAAGAATATTGGAATGATAAGGAGCAGATGGCGATAGAAACAAAAAAAACAATGATAAATTCTAGTCTGTCGCTCTACGATTTGATCCAATTACGATTCGAAGAGGTGAAGAAACTACTCACATACATGGACTGCTACAAGTTCATAAGCTCGGACAAAATTTTTGGGCTCCCCGAAGAACCTAGAAAAGCTTGTCTTTTACATCTGTGCGAAAAACTTTCGAGAGGATTTTTCCGTTGCTGGGCATTAGAGTGTTTTATGGAGCTGACGAGCAGCCGCATGCCACTCGAGTGCTGTGAGATGATCATCGATGAATCATTCACAAACGAAAATTTACGTAATATTTGCTTGGCTACCAGAGTGCAAAGTTCATGATGGTGATAACCATATTTTTGGACTTTTTCCCTGTCTGATTTTATTCATTATGTTGCATACTTTTCTTATCATTCAAACAAATATAATAAAAAAATGAATTCATCAATTTGCTTGAATCCAATTTTTTCTGTTTAATTTAATTTTATTTATTTATTCATTTATTATTAATATTATTATTATTATTATTATTTCTTTTTACATAAAAATAAGTATCGTTTTTTGAACTCGGTTTTTTGATTCTATATTTGTATTCATGAACCTATCTTGACAGCCTTGGTATCTAATTTTTTGCTTTTTCCAACTAGAAATATAGAAAACGACTTCAAATTAATAATGTTCTGTTAATAATAATGATGTTGATGTTGATAATAATAATGTTCTTAAAAAGTTAAAATTAAATACAAAAACAATGTGTGAATTTGTTCATAATACTATACCTGTTTCTTCACCTATAAAAAAAAACTTATTTTTGAATATTGGTGACTAAAAGAAGAGAAAAAAACCCGATCCAGAATTTCGAGCTGTTAAACCGGAAATAAAATGATAAAACATTTTAATGATTTTTTCAAAAGGTGACATTTTAAAAATGTATCTCCATGAATTTTTCCGAATATTTTCAAAGTAAAATTACGCAAAGGATCAACACTGATAGAAGTCGAACATCCTCATGAATTTTGGAAGTACGTGCGCTATTGTTTAAGAATCTGATCGAGGTTTTCATCCTCTTTTGACATGCGCCAAAACATAAAAAATTTTGAAAAATCCGAGAAACTTGCGAGTTTATTTTAAAAATTCTGAACCTCAACATACATAATATACACATAAATGCGATGCAAATATCCTTCGCCAACCTATACAAGCGCGTCCATAATTACGTATAAAAATGTTATACGCGGGCTGCTGCGGTAGGTCGTCGTCGTCGTCGTCGTCGCGCAGCAGCACTTTATTATCGAACGCGCCGCGTGCATAATATTATTTATCTGCATTTTACGCATTAATATCGGCGCTGCTCAACTTCATAACGTGAACGTGGCATGCATACCCGATATTTATGCGTAATAAACATCGCTGATTAGCCTATGTGCACGTCGCGCGAGCCGTGCTTCGAAACGATCGTCGCAGCTCGTTTAATTCGCGTGTATATTTAAAATAAATATACAAACTCTCCAGAGACACTACGGTGTAAGATCGAAACGATCGCGATCGGTATTATTCCTTGGCGAACTTTGTCCGACAGATTCGTCGGGCCGTATATCCATGCCACAACTTTTGAGCTTCGCTCGCACTCGCGCGTCATTGCATTGAGATGATTCGCGCTTCAACGCAGGTACCGCGAGAAATAACTCAATCAACGCGAATAATGCGTGAAACAGTCGAGTATCATATTATGCTGCTGAAATCCGTCAAACGTGTGTTTTCTCGTACTCCATCGTCCTCGTAAAGAGAGAGAAAGAGAGAGACGCGTCTGCTAGCGAGGACAGAATCGTAAAATTCGTATTTTCGGTGTATAACTATAAAAACGCGTCCTCCGCTCGTAGTCCTCCACGGGCGTCTATTAGATAATGATGAAGGTAAAAACAAAAAAAAAGAAGGACAAAAATTCTGTCGAGTAGACCTAAATACGTTCGAAGGAAAAAAAGAAGACGCATAGCGAGCGAACGAACGAGAGCGAGGAAGAAAGAGAGAGACTCGCGAGTATCATTACAAGTGTATATAGTTTTAAGATTATGGAGGAGTGAGCGAGCAAAAATGCGTTGATTATACCTTTGGAGCGGATATACGTCTGGTCATCCAGTCTCCTTCCCTTTGTCTCCTTCCTCCTTTTTTTCGCCCATATAATATCTCGTTAACGTCCGCGCGCGCGCGCACGTGTGTATGTGTTGCGGAGGCTCGGAGGTGCATTAGCTACGGTGGTCAGCAGCACCGAGCCAGCAGCAGCTCTCTCTCTCTCTCTCTGTCTTCGCTTCGTGTGCGTGCGCCGAGCGACGGTGTTATTTTTCGACGTGAGGAAATAATCGATTTGCCAGCTCCTCGTGGACGCGCGCCCGCGCCTCCCTGTATATATCATATATATATATGGGTAATTTTCAACGAGCCACGAGAGCGATGATTAATATTAGAAAACGAAGGAGAGCGAGAGAGAGAGAAAGGAGAGACCCCTGCTTATCACCTGTTGTGCAAACTTTCGGCCTCTTTTTCTTCGCTTTTTACATTGGTTTTTTTTTTCCTTCTTCTTCTACTTCTTCTTGTTTTTTTTTTTTTCGAGAGCTCGCACACGAAGACGTAATAACGAGCGCCAAGCCAGGCACGGCGGGCGTGTGCGTGTATATCATCATCATATATACACCTCTATATACGCATACCCGCGCTGCGCTCATAATACGCACGCGGTCGTAATGAGATGGGATTTATGGCGAGACAGCGAGAGGCAAATGAAATCGTCGAAGGGAAATTTTCAGTCGAGGATCGATGGTCGAACGGTGTGCTGCCACTCGTATGCAGTTCAGGAAATTTCAGCCTCCAAGGAGGAAACGACAACCGCGCGCGTAACTCGACTCGATCACCGCGAACGATCGGTTTTAAAAGTCAGATTATCAGCTGCTAAAAACTTCATTAGGCTTGCAACGGAAGCACCGAAGCGCGCGCCTATATAGGCATCTCGTTTCTTTTTCTTGTTTTCGTGTTTTTTGCACACGCGTCGTCGCTCATTCGCCGGGGACTTTGTGTTCTAAGACTAGTTTCAAAGATTTCTCCGTGCATCTGTCGTCGATGGGCATTTTTTTGCTTGATTTGCATTTCGAAATATATTCCTGCGGGCCGACACGCGTACACATGTATACTGTAATATAATGACGCTCGCCGTCGCTCATTCGACACGGGCGCATTATTTATTTCAAAAGACGCTCGAGAGCTCCGAAAAATCGACCGAAAATCCATGATTGACAAGTACCCAAGCGCGCGCGCCCAGAAGCCACTGCTCGTGCAGTGGTAACTGAAAAATGATAAATACCCGCGCGCGCGTTCGTGCACACGTATCGAGAATTTTTAATGATCGTAAAACCCTAACCAGTGCTCAATTATCGTATACGCACGCACGCGCGATATGAGACGAAAAATGCCAAAAAATTGCGAGCCCGCGCGTCAAGCGATCCGCGCCGCGAGGGCGACGCAGGATCGGCATCGCGTTATATATACGCAACGTATGTAGCATGTTCGCGCACGCGGCGGACGCGACGATCGGTACCTACGGGCGCTTCATGGGTGGCTTTTCGCTTCGAGGCAAAAATTATTCGCGCAAAAGTTTTATAATGCATTGATTTCCCCGAAGATTCGCGCGCGCACTGGCGGATTTTTTTATGCATAAAAGATGCGCAACTTTAACGATGACTGCAACGCAATAGACGCAACGCAGCAGCAGCAGCAGCAGAAATGATAATCGTTTTCAAGAAAATCTAGAGCGCGCGATCGGACAAAGCACTTGCGGGGAAGTTACGAATCAAGGATCAATCAGCGGGATAAATTAATTATCCGCTTTTTTGCGAGTGCCACTTAATGCGTATACACCACGCACGGAGAATCGTGGGTCGAACGAACGATTTATAAATAAATTGACCGGCAAAAAAACTCCCTCGCTCATCAACACCTCGTTTTCTCTCTCTCTTCCTCTCTCTCTACCTGGGCAGCCGTAGCCGGAGCATCAGCAGCTCCTCGATGGCGTGCAGCTTATTAATTTAATCCCTCGAAACTCATTTCCATCGAACGAACGAACGGGCGCGCGCGCGCGCGACCGACTCGGAACGAGACGGTATACGATAAAAAAACATTTCACGCACACGCACGATGTATGTAAAACTCTTCGGTGCGAAGCACACTGGGCTCTCTCGGAGTTGCTGCTGTGTGCTGCGTTCGACGAGCCGAGTTCGCATCGCATGAAACATGCACGAGCGAGGCCTTTTGCCGAGTGTGCGTTACGGGCAAAAAAGGCCCTTTTGCCTTGTTACACTCGCGCGTATCGGGTAAACGTTGGTACTGGCCGAGCTCGCGTTTTATTCGTGTGAGTGAGTGCACACACACACATACACTATACACAATTGTACAACGCCAGTGGCGGAGTGAAAGAGAAAGAGAGAGAGAGAAAGAGAGAGAGAGAAGAGACCACCGTGGTTGGTACCCGATGTATAATACAGACACGCCCCCTTGACTTGTCTTACTCACTCCTTTCTTTTCTCGAATGATTTTAAAGCTGCAGCAGCACGCGACGAGCCTATATATAGCCTGCATGTAGTAGTAGTAGTATATGCCTCTGGTACCTTACATGCATGTACGCGGCGCTGCGCTGCGAAGTTGTGAGTGCAGCTCTCTCTCTCTCTCTCTCTCTCTCTCTCTTTCATTCTTGCAATGGCGTGTGCGCGAGCTCTCCGCGTGGCCGAGGTTCGTTAACGTTTTAAAGCGTGTGTGTGTGTGTATATATATAGATATAATACGCGCGTTATAATACATGCCAACGAGGGGGTAGGTGTCACACATACGCTCGGGCGCAAGGGCGTGCTTACACTTGGCAATCGTATAATACGTCGTCGTCGTCGTTGTTGTCGCGGCTCGAGTTCCGGGGGATAGCCCAGAACGCGTACTACTTGTATGCAAATGCCGAGAGCAAAGACATGGCCAGTGCCAAGTTTCGCCGCAGAAACGACGACGAGAACGACGACGGCTTTGTACACGGAAATAAAATGCGATCGATTTTGAGAAAGTCGAGGGAAAATGTCGAATTTTTAAAAAGTGATTTGTACATAATCGTCGAACGGACATGAACTTACTTTTAAAGAAAAAATTTGAATCTCGTTCGTCCTAATCAGTGGACATGCCACGCTGTCGACTTCAACTTACATTAAATTAATAGTGCAAAAAGCTCGAGGCCTAGCTGCGGACGTGTCGACAGTTGATGATCGTCGATTATTCATTTTTTTCTGTGTTCTTTAATTTCTCCCATACTTGGAAAACAATATGTTTCGAACAAAATTTGACTTTATGTCTCGTG